TTAAAAAACAAGGCTAAGAACTTTCCAACAACAACAACAAGAAGAGAACAATAATAGCAGCAGTGGTTGCAGCAATAGCAATAGCAGTAGCTATACTAACAGCAATAGTAATAGCAACTGATAGCTGCTTTATTGCCAGGTGGGCTGCTCAGCAATCATATAAAATAATATCATGTCATGGGAAAAATGGTCCCCAGTCTGGAATAGATGATGGAAGGCATTTGCCGCAAGCAGAATTATTCCTAGGTGAGCAATGAAATGGCATGTACGTGTGCAGCAAAGAATAGTACATTGAGCATCAGGAATATGCTACCTGTACTCTAGTGCAAGTCAGCAGCTATAAGCACAGCGATAATGATAGGACCACAGGACATTGCCTTGGATGGAGTCAGCCCTGCCACTTGGAACATTGACCTTTTTTGGACTCCAACCCAGAGTTTTCCAGTCCGTTCTGGCCACAGGGATGCTGGGATTTGTAGTTCATCTCTCTCTCTCTCTCTCTCTCTCTCTCTCTCTCTCTCTCTCACACACACACACACACACAAACCCTCTCACTAGTCTAGATCAGTGTTGTCTACACTCTAATTACTTCTCCCCAGGGTTTCAGATAACTGTACCTGGAGAATTCAAATACTGAACTTTGAACCTTCTACAGTGGTGTCTCGCATTACGATTTTAATTCGTTCCAGCAAAATCGCTGTAGAACGAAAATATCGTAAAGCGATTTTTAAAAGCCCATAGAAACACATTCAAACCCGATTAATGAGTTCCTATGGGCTTGAAACTCACCGTCCAGCGAAGATCCTCCATAGTGCGGCCATTTGCACTGCCCATGCAGCAAGGAATCCATTCCAGAAAACAGCGGGCGGCCATATTTTTTACCCGGCAGCCATTTTGAAACCGCCAATCAGCTGTGTGAAAATCTTCATTTTGCGATAATTGGTTAGCGAAGCAGGTAACTGATCATTGCAAAGCGAAAAAAACCCATAGGAAACATCATTTTGCTATAACTTTTGCGATCGCAAAAACTTCTTCGTGATGCGATTTCGTCGTTAAACGAAGCGCTCGTCTTGCGAGGCACCACTGTATTTGCAAACCATGTGCTCGATTTGCTATTGAGCTAGTGCCCTCCACAAGAGGTCAAAGGTCACTCTGATATGTGTTGCAATTGTGATCTTGGTTCTTTCCCCTTCCCAATTGACAGCACAGACAGATATACAGAAATGGCCAGAAATTCAGGGCAGAAGCTAGGGGCTGTGGAAGGATTCAGCTGTTACACACAGAGACAAAGGGAAGGAGGAGATGTGAAGGAAATGGGTATTTCTCCTGGAAATGCTGAACAGGCATACAAACATAATGTGTCTTAGATAATAACATTACAGAGAGAGAGAGAGAGAGAAAGAGTTTCTAGCAGCATTTGTCCAACTTACCATTCTCAGTTTGCAGCTTCCCCTTTTGGGCAGTGAGATCATTCACCAAGCGAGTCATCTCATCCACTTTTGTTTTTGCCTCATTGAGATGGTCTTCAAGAGTGCGACAGAGCTTCTCTGCATTTGCCTGGTAGAATTGAAACCAAGCTAATCAAACATCATTCCAGTCAAAGTGATCCCCTGTTTTGTCTTTTGCCAAGTTCAACTTCCGGTGTAAATGAGTCAGCATTAACAACACACTTGCTCGAAAAATAAAAACAAAAAAGGCACAAGGAAAAAATTTGGTAGGAGCTGAGATAAGATCCAGTGAACAATAAGGTTACTCTCCTGGGTAAATTGCAGAGATTGGCTTATAAGCGGAGAGTCAATATTTGGAAGGCGCAACTAGATAAAAGCAGAAAATGTCATGGCAGAGGGGGTGCCATGCTATGCTCTTTAAAACAAAATTTATTCTATCATATATATACCAGAAATATGCAATTTATTGTAAGAAATCATAAAAGCTTACTCCTTTTAAAAAGCATTTCATTGCACCTTACACTCTTACAGCAGTACTGAATTTTTACATGCTTTTGCACATTTGGAAGTGTATCTGATTAAGTGTTCCTTGTCAGAATAACACCAGCCACTAAGCTTTCCTATAACTCTTATTCTGACAGCAACCATAAACACATTATTTTCCATAGTCATTTACTAGCGTCACTCCAAAGGGAAAGAAGAGAGCTGCTACATGATAGTGGGTGGCAAATGGAAGGGAATCAGTCATTTAATTAATAATAGCTTTGAATTACTGAACTGAATTGATGTGACGAGAAAACCTCATACCGATTTAAACAAAATTACACATCTGAGAACCATAAACACATGCCTACTAAGCTAACTTGTTTTAGCAGGGGGCGGGATTAAATATCCCCAAAGGGAACATCTTACCATTCTTTTCTGTATCATGTTTTAAAAGTAAGTATGATGGAAGCATCACAAAGATGAGAATGTGAAAAACATTCCACCTTTCTCCTCCAAAAAATGACAAAAGATACCAGCTTTAGCCTTATGAATAAGAACAGATTGAATGTCAGACCAGTTCATGGATCACTCATGAACATTTACCTGCTGATAATAATTAGTTCCTGAATAAATAATTAGTTGTGGAATCTGTCGTGAAGCTGAATAATAAGTAATAATAATATTCTGTCTGGTCGACCCTTTTCAGGGTAGAGAATACACAGAAGTGGTATACCATACCCATCTTCTGGGGAGGATCCTGCAACTGTGCAGCTTGCCCAAGTACACATGGGCTGGCTCCTCTGAGATACACCGTAGGGAACTGAACGCACAACCCACACCTAAACCATGGATTCAGCCAGAAGACGCAACATAACCAAAAACCCTCACCAAAGCAGAATTTTTTAAATGCCTCTAGTAGCAGAGCAGACTCTGTACAAAACGATAACAGATATTGAGACACAAGACGTACATTTTTAGATAAATTTATACCCTCAAGGCATCTTGAGTATCAAAAACAGTATTACACTATTTTTGAAGATAGATGAAAGGAAGGAGGTTTTGGTGGGAAACCAGGGACAATAGAAAATATGGAAATCAACATTCAGGACAGCAGAATTTGGAAGGCTGTCAGAATGCATTTTGAAGAGAGGCCATCCACCAGATGGCAAAAATAAATTTCTGGCAGCCTTTTGGTAAATAAATAATTTGTGTTTTAGTGCTTTCTTTTTTCTTTTGTTAAATGGATGTGTTTTAAATGGTTTTCGGTTCCTTAGTGTTTTAACATTATTATCCAATTAATCTTTTTGTTAGGCTCCTATCTGTAGTTGTTCTTTATCTGCATCTCTTTTAATTTTGTAAATCACTTTCAGAACCAATCTGAGGTGAAAGGCAGGATATAAACTGAAACTGATCAGCCATTATAACTGTATAGTGTTCTTCTTGGATTTCTCTTGGCAGATATCAATTTTTTATAGAAGTTACTGCACAGTGGTTTAAATCTTGGGGGCAGCCAAGTCAGATGAGGCCGACACAGACAACCTAGGTCTCAGAACATGATGATCCCCACTCCCATCTGGCACTATAGTAAACCTCAAAGGCATTTTACCTTTCCCTTGACCAGCTGCTCCATGTTGGAGTTCATGTCATCCACTTCCAGCTTCAGCTCACTCTTCTCTTTCTCCAGTTTCTGTTTGACCCTCTGCAAGTTGTCCACTTGTTCCCCCAGCTCTGCCATGCCGTCTGCGTGTTTCTTCCTTAGCGTAGCAGCAGTCGACTCATAATGCAGAGTGGCCTCTTCAAGGTCCCGTCGCAATTTCAGAAACTCAGCCTCTCGTTTCTTGTTCATCTCTAGCTGGGCTGCAGTGGCACCTCCGGCTTCTTCTAGCCGCTCGCTCAGCTCTTCTAGCTCTCGAGCCAAATCTGATCTTTGCTTTTCCACTTTTGCCCGGGCAGCTCTTTCTGCTTCCAGCTCCTCTTCCAGCTCCTCAATGCGGGCCTGCGACACAGAAAAGAACACAGAATGTAATGTTGTGGTCCTCAAAGCCAACGTGTAACCACTTAGATGTTGGAGACCATGGGCTATAACCAAAGCTTGGAAATGTTTGGTTTCCAAACCCAAAAAGGTTTGGAAATCCCAACCTTTTTGGGATACAACTCTTAGGATCCATCGTCCAGTGGTTACACTGACTGCAGCATTCTGGGATGTGTAGTCCAGAGAAGTAACTTTCCAAGTTCTGAATGCATTTAATATTAGAGGAGAAGAAAAAAAAGTAACTTTCCAAGTTCCAAATGCATTTAATATTAGAGGAGAAGAAAAAGCACAAGAGGTGGCAGTGTTTTTCTAGTGATTGAATAAAGACGAGAAGAACAGCTAGTATGAGCAATACTATGAGCAATAATGGGTTGTGGCATGGCTTGAAAAATAGTTTCTGCAAGGGCTTCCATGAGTGCAGTCAAAATACTGGATATGACTTGTGCACAAGGAGCTTCTGAGCAGGAGAATCTTTGCTCTGGCAGAATTACTCCCTTGGGATATGCAGTACATTAACCTCCCTGGTAACTGAAGGCCTTTCTGTTGGTCCTACCATCCTCATTGGCACGACAGATAAAACCTGTTCACTAGTTGCTCTCAGGCAGTAAAATTCCTTTCCAAGGGAGGCCAGTCCTTTCTACCAGGAAAGACTTTTCTGTTTAGTCAGGTTTTTGGCAACTGGCTAGCTACTGAGGCAAGGCCTTTTAATTGCAGATACTAAACATTTTAACCTTTTTCTAATGTACTTTTACTTTTTTTTCAAATGGTGATTTATTCAGTTGCTTTAATGTGATGTTGGCTGAAATCCAGTAGCAGCAGTTTTTTGTAAATTCAAAATCTCAGATTCCCTCTCAGAAGGTCCTGAGGCTGTTTCAGGATCCTTTTCATTGTGGGGAAGCTGTTGGAGTCTTCAAGACAGAGGGAATGCTTCAATTTCCAAACACCACCAATGACACCAAGATAATCTTTTTGCTGGCAATTTTCAGAAATTAAAGAACCACAGCCCCCTATGTCTTTCCCCATAATGAAAGTTTCCAAAAGCAGCTTTGCGACCTTTGGTGGCGGAAGCTGAAAATTTTTAATCGCTAAAAAACTGCTATGGCTGATGATATCATCAGCCCTATGCAGCATAACTTTTGGCAACAGGACTTCAGCCAACATGCTTTACCAATTTTAACATATATTGTCATTTACTGTTAGCTGTATTTGTCTTTCAATTACTTTGTAAATCACCTTGGTCTCTCTACCTAGCAAGGTTTATTGGAAGAAAGGCAGAATGTAAATAGAACAAGTAACAACTGCATTCCGGCTCCTTCCTCCATATACACAATTCAGAACATTAGACCATTACGAGAGCTAGAAATTACATGGCTGTGTAATGAGTCACAGTTACTTGCTTGACAATTGGGTAATGTTCTGCAGCATATTCCAAAGACATCAGGTTCCAGTTCTCTTCACTTTTAACAGGAATAGGTTCCACTAAACTTAGTGGAATTTATTCTAAGTTACCATGCACAAGATTACTCCAAGTCTTAGGGTACTAAAAAAGAAAGTCATTTTTGTAGACAAGGCATGTCAGAAGTGGAATGTTCTGTTACTGAAACGGTCCTCTGTCACCTCAAGAATAATTTGGACAGGGAGAAAGGGCAACAGAAAGCTTCTGTGGATCATGTCCATGCTTCACCTCTGGACTAGAACTGTCAAGACTGTTAGGCACACATTCTGCCTATGGGCTTGTAAGCAAGTTGCAGAATTATTCAGTGACACCCCCTCACATTCTCCAAAGGGAAACACAGAACAACTTGTGCAGCTGCAAAACCCAGGAGGTCATAAAGACTCCATGGATCAGCAGCCAACATGACTGTTTTTATTCCACAAAGAATTCTCACTTCTGAGAAAACTTCAGTGTACTGTGTTATACATCACTACAATTCACATCATCTTCCTTTGAGGTATGGCATGTACTTTTATCAGCTTACAAGCCCTGAGGTGCATGTTACCAAGGGCATTGCATTCAAAGACAGATGCTTTTCTTTTCACAAAGGACATTGTTTCCATGAAGGATACCCAAAGCTATCTTTTATTCCCCTGCTTTCTGGCTTGTATTCCTACCACTTAAACGTCTTTCCTTCACAATGATCTCTCATTATTATTTTTTATCCCCAATGCCAACTGCCATCCACCCATTGTTAGCATTTATTTTGTTTTGAGACTAGGATTTCATATCTGCCTTTGTAGGACCAACAGCTTTTTTCTCAAAAACTGGCAAAATAATCCAAGACAGATGTTTAGCAAACATCAATCTGGAATAGGAAGTGACGAGACAATGCAGTCATGCCCATTGTGCTTGTTCATTTACCAGAAAGTCTGAACAGAACTGACACTGATGCATGACACACATTGTTCACACAGTCTTCTTTGTGTGATGGATACCTCTCAAAATAACAGGATCTTTAATCATGCAGACAACTCTACACTTTCAGACTCTGCTCAGATTTCAGACCTTTGGATAACTACATGGGCAGTTTTGTGGTGGGAAATCTCATCCTTTGGGGCATTCACCAACCACAGGGATAGTTCATGAACTAAGCAAAGGGATGCCATATATCCAGAACAAAGAGACACCCCCTTTCTCTAGTCAGAAGCCACCTATGTTTGATCATGAGTATCAGGCTGAAGAAATGGCTACAAGAGAGCAAATATTATTCCAAGAGTTTCACCACCTCTTTGAAGATGATAAAAACAATCATACATTTGCACATCATTTGTTGTTATGTGTTGTCAAGTCACTTCCAAACTCATGGTGGCCCTAATAGAGTGTTCTGAGGTATGTGAGATGTTCAAGGAGTGGTTATCATTGCAGCTCCTATGCTTTCCCATCAATGGAGCAGGGATTTGAAGTCAACTCTCCTGAGTCCGGTTTTGACACTCTATCCATGAAACTCCACTGGCATTCATGCCATACCATGCAAGCGTTAAACTGGGGGGAAGCATCCTGCTTTTCTGATTAAGCAGGCTGGTCCTTATAACACTGTCATGCAGTACAAACATTAAAGCTTGGGTAGATATCCTGTCTGTGTGGTAAATGTGCTGGCTTTTACTTTCCAGAGTTTCCCAGTCTTTGAGAATTATGAGTAAGTTTATTTCTTCACAGTTGTCAAGAACTTATTTGTTCATTTTTATCACAACTAACCTACAAGGCAAGTTCATGACTTACCGAAAGCTAGCCAATGGGTTTTATGGCTCACTGGATCTAAATTCCTAGTTCAGAGCCTTGGTAATGTTTACATTTTTAGCTCTAAAATCCATAAGCTCCGCTCAGCCTTCTAAATAGCCTAACAAACCCAAATTTTAAAAGCCGGATCATCCATAGTTTAAAACCTCTTCTTTCTTCATGCAACACATTTCTTAGTGCAAAGCATATTTTAAGTTGTGGACCTTGCTGTCATGTGGTAATAGTAACTGGTTTGGGCAGCTTTTAAAAAGGGGCTAGATGAATTCATGGAGATCTGGCCTCTCAATGGCTGTTGGCCATAATACCTAAATATCAACTTGAGATTCAGAGGTTCAATGCTACTACATACAAATTGCTGGAAGGCAAACGACAAGGAAGAGCTAGTTGTGTTGGGCCACAGCTCTCATGGTCTCATAACCGGCATAGTTAGATGACACCTTTGGGAAACAGGATGCTGAACTAGATGACTTCCTAGGTCAGAACTGTGAAAAGTAAGTTTTCAGGCACAAAATCCCTGGAATCCACCAGCCAGCAGATTTTCCAAAATAATAAAAAAACACTTGTCAAAAAAAAAAAGTGATTCCTCCCACCGCAACCTCTGTCCTGGTTCCATCCACCAAGGCTCTTCTCGTGGTCTTAAAATGAACACATGACACTTGGAGACCAGCCTGTTCAGTGAGTAAGGGTGCTTTCAGGTGGACTCCTCAGAGTGGAGTACCAATAAAAATGTACTATGTTCCTATTCCATCCAGGTCTTCATTGGGAGATTTTTCTTCTGATAGGGAAAAACACGAAAGACATGGTAGGAAAACAGAGGAAGGTTTACACAGGCAAAATAGCATCTGGATTCTACACAAAATTCATATTTCAGACAGGATGTTTGCCTTGTATAGAAGCATCCCACAACTTTCAAACAGTATAAGACTCAGCATATCCAGGAAAGGGGAAAATTAAGTATGAGCCATTATTTACCTGAAGCTCTTTTATCTTCTTCTGGAGCTGCATCACAATGGCCTGCTCATCCTCAATCTTTGAGTTCATCTGATTGATTTCAAACTCTTTCCTGCTCATGCAAGAGATGATTAATTGAGAGTGGGTACAAGGGACTCATTTATTAACATCATTTGATTGCTTTCTAAGCACAAATGCCATCTCAGGAGAAACAGTTACTATTGCTGATACTTATCAATCCCTTTAAGAAGCAGCTTAAAAAGAATGACGTCCAGCTTGCAGACTATGCAACACAGAGATTCTGCAACTTTGTTGTGCATTTTTGGGTGACCTAATATAGGTAGAATGATTCACAGGATATATGACAGGATGCTAAAAATTTCTTAGAGCAAGAGGGTGCCCCATGAAGATGTTCTATGGCAAATTTTAAAAGACCAAAAATCATAAAACATATAAAATGCAGAAAGCTAACAAACTTTGGTTATGTAACAAAAAAGTACAACTTGTTATAGCTGATTATACTATGGGGAAAATATGCAGGTGATACCACTCTGATGGCAGAAAGTGAGGAGGAATTAAAGAACCTCATAATGAGAGTGAAAGAGGAGAGCACAAAAATGGTCTGAAGTTAAACATCAAAAAAACTAAGATCATGGCCACTAGTCCCATCACCTCCTGGCAAATAGAAGGAGAAGATATTGAGGCAGAGACAGAATTTATTTTCTTGGGCTCCATGATCACTGCAGATGGAGACAGCAGCCACGAAATTAAAAGACACCTGCTTCTTGGGAGTAAAGCAGCATCTTAAAAAGCAGAGACATCACCTTGCCAACAAAGGTCCACATAGTCAAAACTATGGTTTTTCCAGTAGCGATGTGTGGAAGTGAGAGCTGGACCATAAAGAGAGTTCCCTGGACTGCAAGGAGAAACCTATCCATTCTGAAGTAATCAACCCTGGGTGCTCACTGGAAAGACAGATCCTGAAGCTGAGGCTCCAATACTTCGACCATCTTGTTACCTTTCAAAGGTAACATAGAGTTCCTGGCCCCCTCACAATCTCTTTAGAAGAGAAGACTCCCTGGACAAGACCCTGATGTTGGGAAAATGTGAAGGCAAGAAGAGAAGGGGACAACATAGGACGAGATGATTGATAATCATCATCATCATCATCATCATAATAACTACTACTACTACTACTACTACTACTACTACTACTACTACTACTACTACTACAAAACAACAACAATTATAACAATTATAACAATTATAACAATTATAATAAGGTGGTGGCAGTGGTACCAACCCGCTGGCAAGCTACACTGAAGATCTGATATATAGTGGATTTATATATTAGAATATGCACTTGTTTCTTATGGCTTTTTACACTGATTGTAAAGTATGAAAAAATAGTGAATGTTTTATAGTATAAATCAAATTGTGCCTTTATGTGATAGAGGAAGGCAACTGTTATCTTCTAAATCAAACTGCAGCTCTCCTAATCTCACACCATTGCCTATGCTGGCTAGAACCACATCTGGAGGCCTGCTGTTTCCCAGCTCTGCTACAAGACCAAAGCCACCTTACTTTTTCAATTTCTCCTCCAGTTGCAGTTTATCGTTCTCCAAATCCATGACACTTTCCTGTGTCAACTTCAAGTCCCCTTCCAGCTTGCGTTTGGCCCTTTCCAAATCCATCCTTACTTTCTTCTCTTGCTCAAGGGAGCCCTCAAGCTACAAAAAGGAAAAGGATAAAATTAGTCCCTCAACAATTGAAGTACTCTATGAATCCCAGAAATCAACAGTACCTTAAAGTTTTCTAAGTCAAAGTGAAGCATAGGAGCTCAGAGTCCCATGTCTGCTTGCATCAAATGGAACAGGCTGACAATCACTCTAGGAAAACTGGGTGGGGGACCCCACCATCTGCTTCCTAGATATATAACTCTGTGCACTAACTGGAGCACAAATGAATTTCTTCCACCTACCCACTTTCATTGAGAAGTTCAACAACAGATGTACTTTCATTAAGAGTTCTGTGAAATTTATGAAGTAATAAAAGCAACCCAATTGTCCAAACAACAAAACACAACACCCATTCTAAATGATCCTTCCACATTCTGTTATTGTCCAGCTATTTTGGACCATAACTCTCAGCATCCTTCATTTGTGTGGCCAATAAGCATGACAGAAGTTGTACGTAGGTCACAGCATCTGGAGGGCGCCAGAGTAGGGAAGGCTAAGTAAATGAATTTTAGAATTGACTTACATCATCTACTTGCTGCTCCAATTTTACTTTTGCTTTGCTCAGAGTGTTGACTTTGTCCTCCTCTGCTTGCAAGTCATCCAAGGCCTGCTGGTGAGCTTCCTGCAAAGACTTCTTCTCTTTTGTAAGCTTGCTGATGGTCTCATCAAGTGCTGCCATTTCTTCTGTCAGATTTTTAACCTGAGAGAGAGGAATAACAATGGGCATACTTCCTTAGAAAGTAAATTTAAACCTGCCATTTATTTAACTCTCGCTTTGAGAGAACTACCTGATAGTAGTTGTACTAGACAGAAGGTTATGTATCAATATGAGGCTGTTTTCCACAAATAATTTCTTATTTGTGAAAGAAGCCATGGGCTTACTTGAGCATGTACTCCTTTGAACTAAATCCCAGATACCATATGAAGATGGGAAAGCAACTGGGATACTGTAGCACTGGAAGCATAATTTGGCTGATGGCGAAAACCGTTCCAAACACACACACACACACACACACACACACACACACACAAACCCGTTGCAAGTCATATAGTCTGAAGACACATGATATGACTATCTTGATGAAGCTAAGTAGCTCTGGTTAGTGCTTTAACTGGAGACTACCTAGAAATTCCATGTGTTGAGTCCAACTTTAAAAAAAAATCAAATATGAATGTATTAAGTCAGGTATGGTTTGTCTATGGGCCTCCAGATGCTGTTGGATTGTAACTACCATAAGCTCTCAATATTGGTCAGGCTAACTAGAGCTTATAGTAATGGCAGTCCAACAATATTTGGGAGTCCGGATTGTACCCATTTTTGTACTAAATAAATAAATAGCACTCAGACCACAGAGGTTACTGACAGTCAAATTTTAGATATCCTCAGTCATATCTTGCACTTGTTGATGCATGCAGTACTCAAAAAAGAGTAAAATGTAGCACATATTTTCTCCTTCTTACAGGGTTGGGGGAGGATGAATTTTTACATAGGCAAAGGTAAAGGTTCCCCTTGACATTTAGTCCAGTTGTGCCCAACTCAAGGGGGCGGTGCTCATACCAGTTTCCAAGCCGTAGAGCCAGCATTTGTCCGAAGACAGTTTCTATGGTCACGTGGCCAACGCAACTAGACATGGAACACCATTACCTTCCCGCCAAGGTGGTACCTATTTATCTACTCGCATTTTTACATGCTTTCGAACTGCTAGGTTGGTAGGAGCTGGGAAAAGCAACGGGAGCTCACTCCATCGTGTGGATTCGATCTTACGACGGCTGGTCTTCTGACCTTGCAGCACAGGGGCTTCTGCGGTTTAACCTGCAGAGCCACCATGTCCCACCATATTTTTTAATACATTAAAACTAAAGAAACAAATCTCCGATCAACCATGAATTTTTCCTGGAAAATTAATTACTTGTATATTGTCTGCCAGCATCAAGCTGCCTCAGGGGTCTTTTCCTTTAAAAATGGCAAGCAATTAAATATACCTTATTTTCGGTGGCATGTTTTTCTTTCTCCACTTTTGCCAGTGTTATTTCAAGGTCATCAATGTCTTTCTTCAGCTCAGAGCATTCGTCTTCTAGCTTTCTCTTCTTGGATGTCAGTTCAGAATTCATCTCCTCTTCATCTTCCACCCGTTCAGTTAGCTCTTTGACTTTGGCCTCCAGCTGAATCTTGGATTTTATCAGCAAGTCACAGCGTTCTTCTGCATCTGCCAGGGTATCTTGCTCCTGTCAGGAAATGCAGGAGGCAGCAGCTTTTTAGCAAACATGTTCTCATGGACAATTTTCTCCTATTTTGATGAAACTAGGAATCATACATTTATATAGAGAATAATAGTGCTGGGGGAGGCCTTAGCAGACATTTGAAATGTGCCCTGCTTATATACCACCCCATAGCACTTAAAGCACTCTTTGGACTGTTTACAAGTTAATTATGCAGGTTACACATTCTCCCCCCACCCCAGCGGTCCTTTTACCAACCTCAGAAGGATAGAAGGCTGAGTCAACCTTGAGCCGGCTATTGAACCCCAGGTTGTGAGCACAGTTTTGGCTGCAGTACAACAGTTTAACCACTGCACCATGAGGCTCGTTAGACCAATCCTATGTTCAGTGCCAGAGCTAAAGCCCAAACTGGAAAGTAATCTGTTCTGTAACTCATTACTTACTTACTTATTTATTTATTTTATTGAACTTATACCCCACCCATCTAGACCGAAGTCTACTCTGGGCAGCCATACTATATTGAGGTCATTATAAGACCTCCAAGAATAATTTGTTACCACTTTAAAAAACAGAAATTTGCTATGTTACTTATTTTGCCAAACCAACAAAGAATCTTGAGAATAAGAGGATGATCCTAACAGGCCTAGGTGAAGCTCTGCCAAACCCAGACGCTTCACAATCCAGAGGTATTGGGAATTACTTAGGCTTACTTATCCCAGCCTAACTTTGTGTTGGAATTGGTTTGGTTCTGAGGCAGTTTAGTTCTGTCCCTTGTCTCATCTGGTCTCCACCCAGCCCTCCTTCCACTCACAGACCTTAGCTAACAAAGCAGTTCTGCAGGCAGATTGCTCTGTCAGCAGCTTTCTATGGTCAGCAGGCAGAAGAGAGTTCTGTCAGCACAAGGGTATTTCTGGCAGCAGACTGGCTTCTTCCTAATCTTCATTGCCAGCAGCCAGTACATCTTTGAGTAAGGTTGCGCTAAGACTGGTTTTGTTTGACACAAGCTTGGAGATTACAGCCCATTTCATCAGACATTGATAATCAAATAAACCTCACAGACATTATTTGCTACTCAAGGTTTTTGGGGGGAGGGGTGGATATTTAGAATTGGTAAGACAATGCATAAAACAAGTACATTTTACTCAAAATGTGTCTAAAATGCTCTTTAAAATTATCTAAGACAAGTAACATTTCACTGCGACCATGTAGCACCATCCCCACTCATTTTGAAATATAACTTTGGGTACAACTAGATGTAAAGGGAACATCTAATTCTTCAGATTACTCTCTTTTTTCTTCCCATAACGAGATTTCGTCAGAGGAACGTGCATCAGCAATCAGTAGACAAAATAAGCCAATGTTTACCTTCCAATGACAGATTATAAAACAAAGCATGCTAAATGCAACAAACATGGGTGAAAAAAAATTATGTGTGATGACAAGCAGATGTCTTTTACCACTTGAGACAGCATCCCTTCTAAAAACGTGCTAAGCTTATGATCAACTTTGACCCTTTGTTGTACCCCTGTACCAAAAACAGTAATTCATTCCCGTTAATATATTACTCATAACTTGGTACCTCCAAGCTTTGGAGAAAAATATCTCCCAACAGATGGCTTTTCATTTCCTAACTGAAGATCTCTAGGGAGAGTCCTCCATCTGTTCGGATAATTGGTTCCACTGTTAAATCGCTCTTACTGTTAAGAAGTTTGTTCTAGTGTTCAATGCAATCTAACCTCCTGCAACTTAAACCCATTTTATCTGGCCCTGCCCTCTGCAGCTGTAAAAAATAAGCCCTATTCCATGTGACAGCTCCACTGATAGTTGAAGTCTATATTCCTCATTAGTCTTCTTTTCTCTGGGTTGCTCAATATGATCAGCTGGGAACAGCTCAGGGGACAGGTTAAGATTAATTCTTGAGAAAATCAATTCTGAGTTCCATCATAATCCAGGGGATATACCATGTGTTTGTTAGGTATGTCCCAATCCCGACTCCGAAATCTTTCCTAAATCACATATCATTTGTTTTTTTCATAGAGATCAAAAATTAAATATGACTATTACAAAATGATAGATCAAGCTGTCACAGCTGAGCATAAAATGGCCTTCAGTTCTACTGAACCTAATGGGATTGACTTGCAGGTAAATTGTGCAGGACTGCAGCCTGATTAGTACCATGTAGACTAATTTCCTCAGCTTTCCAAATAGAAGAGATGGTGCCTCACAAGGGACTTTGGCAGGGGGTATGGATGATTATAAACCACTTTAGATGTTAAAACTGCTGTGTGCAATGATAATAAATAGTCAATCATATTAGGACATCATGACTGGAAGCTCTCACATATTAAAATATGCATTCTGTCATCTTTAAGAATAATTTTCTTGCTTGTTCAGCAGCACACTTGCAAACTTTATGCAAAATGCCACTCCTCCAAGCTTAACATCTCCCTGCTCCAGTGATTTACCATGGTAACCAACACAACAGATTAGAATATAGATTTTACAATCTTAGTATTTATATCCAAGCCTTGTAAGTTTTGCAGTTCATTTATTTACATGTAAAGTGACGTAAACTTATGCAGAGCAAAGGTAAGGCTGCAATCTTTAATTCAATGAATAATGGAGACCAGGTGCCGTTACACTCTCTTTAGGATACATTTCATATAAAATATACTAGCTGTCAACTCAACTACAAATGTTCCTAATGTCTGTCTTTTACTCTGAGAAAGAATCTCTGAGACTGTTTAATTGCAAAATACTAAAGTATAAAAGAACAAGAAGAAAGTCTCCTTTCAGATTTTGTAGAATAAAAGGTTTAAAGTGACCTCTTCCTGATTCCACAATACTTGTGTATCTTCCTGTAGTTTTGCTTTATAATTTGAAGCATCCCTCACTGTCAAGAGCTTGGAAAAAGTGCCAAGTCTCACAATTGCTAGACTGGCCAAGCTGGAAGTGGGATTGTGGGATCTGTAATTCAAACAAAACAAGCATTTCCCAAGTTCTATTCCTTGCACACATCTTTTTCTTTCTTGAAGAGCCTTTCCATATGATTACTTTGAATATTAACAAACATTGCAGAGTTATTCCTTATTGGAGGGTCTGGAGATTGTGCAGACTCCATAGCAAACGGAGATGGGTTCAGAGATTTCTCCCAGAGGTAAGATCTCAGTCTCTGTAAACACAGTTTTAGCACTGGTTTAGTTAGCCTCCTACACTTGGAGCAGGAGTGTGTCACATGTTGTTCTCCAAGACAGAAAAGGCAATGGTCGTGGCCGTCAGTGAGTAGGATTTTATTTGCACACAAGACGCAGCGCTTGAAAGGCCCAGGGGGGCATAAAAGAGCGGGGGAAAGGGAGGAAAAAATGGTTGTGGGGGACAGGATTGGCAAATGCAGACAGAGGAAAAAAACTGGAAGAAACTCACAGGACTAGCATCCAATAAAGAAAGATGATTGAAAAGGAATTTGAAAAAAAAATAAACAATGATTGATAAAAAGTATTGATTCAATTCAATAGATTGCTCTAGTTCTCCAAAACAGGTCTAGCCAACACAGTGGAAAAAAGGAACTGAGGGGATCAGTGGTGGGCGAAGCATGTGCTCCACGAGGGAACGTCCCACTAATCATGTGTCTCTAAGTTCTAGAAACTTCCGAGAGGTTCAGCGCAGGTGCGGAACAACCCAATTGTGTGCATTCACAGAGGCCACAAAGAAGAAAAGGCTAATATTCCCCAGAGAGCACACTCATTGGTACTAAAATTATTATGTTTAGTTATGTTTCTGTCAGGCAGCAGTTGGACAGACTGTGTTACAGTACACATGATGTGATTTAATTACCCCCATTCTCGAGGGGAGGAGAACTGTTTTTAAAATGCCTGAAGGCTCTATGCTCACTTAATCACCACATACTTTCATTATGTGAGTTCTTGTCTAGTCTCCTTTTCAAACAAAAACAAAGACTGGTAAACCATAGTCATGCAATCCTTGCCAGAATGCCCTCTCAGTTTATGTCCTTGTTTTATGCACTTCAGAATGGAATGCCATGCATAGCCTTCATCCATTGCACTGACAGAAGGCTGGTTCGCAGATGTATGGGATAACAAGATTTCTTGATATTTGATTCGTCTAAATGAGTGATTCCCAATCCTTGATCTTCAGATGTTCTCGGACTGCAGGTCCCAGAAGTCTTCACCACCACTAGATGTGCCAGCAAACATTTCTGGGAGTTGTAGCCCAAGAACATCTGGGGACCCAAGATTTGGAACCACTGTGTTAAACCAAGGAAGAAGTAACTGTGACCTTCTAGTTCCAAACTGTGTTAAACCAAGTGAAGAAGTAACTGTGACCTTCTAGTTCCAAAATGCTTCACTATTGACTAGGCCAGGGGTCTAAAACATGCGGCCCAGGGGCCATTTGCAGCCCGCCAGATGATAGTTTGTAGCCCCCACCTTGCTCCCCCCCCAGAGTGCCCACACGTCCTCTACTGTCAAGAGTAGAAACAAAGCCTCACCTCGCTCGCGGAACCAAGTGAAGAAGTAACTGTGACCTTCTAGTTCCAAAATGCTTCACTATTGACTAGGCCAGGGGTCTAAAACATGCGGCCCAGGGGCCATTTGCAGCCCGCCAGATGATAGTTTGTAGCCCCCACCTTGCTCCCCCCCCAGAGTGCCCACACGTCCTCTACTGTCAAGAGTAGAAACAAAGCCTCACCTCGCTCGCGGCTCTCTCCCAAGACAGCGCCTCTTGCACCCCCCATCCAGAATTGCAGCCTGCTAGCCAGCCCACCTGTCTTCCAGCTGGCAGGCTGCAGTTCCAGATGGAGGGTGCAAGAGGCACTGTCTTGGGGGAGAGCCGACGAGCGAGGCGCGCTGCTGGCCCTTTTCCCCAAGTGCCCGAGCTGCCGACAAGTGATGCCTGAGAACGCAGCTCGTTCCCAGCCTGTCCTTGAAGAGCGCCTCCAACAGCACCTCTTCCAGGGAAGTGGCCCTCTGGCTCTCTTTCTCTCTCAGCACCCCCAGCACCAGCCCAGCCAGTGGCCACCTCAGCGCCCGGCAATGCTTCCTTCTCCTCCTCCTCGTTCTGCTTCAGCCACCTCAGCTCTGGAGGCTGCCTGGGCTCGCCTCGCAAAGTTTGCTCCTCTGTCATGGTGGGGGTAGCTGCTGCTGCTGAGTGCGCCTGTGTGTGTGTGTTTGTACATGCGCGCACGCCCGTGGGGGGCACCCTGTTCTGTTTAATTTCGTGGGTACGGATGGGAGCTTTTCTCCTTTAGCAAGGTGATTCTGTGTGGGTTTTAAAAAAATTTTTATGTCGTGCCCTCCTCTCCCCCCGGCTAGGCGGTTGCCGGCGCTCCCGGAGGGGGTCGTGGCCGGCCATGAGGGCTCGCACCCCCTCCCCCCCTGGCTAGGCGATCACCAGTGCGCCCTCCCTTCTCCGCTTCTTTGTCCTGCTGCTGCTGCTGGTGGTGGTAGTGAAGAAGGAGCCGGAGGGGTACATGGCTGGCGGTGAGGGCTTGCGTGCCCCTCTTCCTCCTCTTCCTCCTCCTCCTTGGAGCCCCAGCCGAGCTAAGGAAATTTCTGGGCTGCTTCCTCGGGCTCTTGCTCCACTTGGCGGAAAATCTGATGTGGCCCAGCCGCCTAGAGTGGACTTGTAGTCCAGATAGGCGGGGTATAAATCAAATAAATAATAATAAATAATAATCCGAGTCTGCCTCCAGCGGCCCCCAGGTAAACTGGGTTTGAGACCCCTGGACTAGGCTATCTAGGGCTAGTAAGCCACAGATTCCCCATCTATGTTCCATGGATCATTGGTAGTCCACAAAGGCACTACAGGTGGTCCATGGAGACTGCACTGGTTGATCAAAGTGGCCCTAATCTTGTAGAGTGAAGTAAAGTGAATGAATACTCTTGATATATGGGTTTGACGCCTCATCAGCCAAGGCTTGGTTTAACATGTTTAAAGCAGCTTGCTTACTTAGTGATCTTTAAAAGCTTCCAATGTCAGTGTAGTAGTTCTATAAAGGAAAAGCTGGGGAGCACTGCAATACATGGGATAAAGAACTGGAGGGCATATTGTCTATGCCTGCTCCACACTGATGCCTTTTAGTTGCAGTTGTGAATGGACATGGACTCCATTGAAAAGGACTGCATGAGAGACGAAATGCAAGCTCTGCCTGTGGTTTTACGACTGGGATACTGCCTACAGTCGAAGGATGACCAAGGCTGCAGGAACCAACTGTTGCCAATTTTACTTCCCTACCTTTTACAGCAAAAATGAAATTGATTATATGCGTACACACATACACTAAAGCAAGCTGATTCACAGCTGCTAAAATGGCTCTTTATGGGAGGGAATGAAAGTTGTGCTCCTCTTTTCTAGCTCTGGAGTATACATCCACTCCCTCTTTAAGAGTGTGAGGATACCAACAAGGGTCTCCCTTGGCTGATGAGTATTTTTCCCCTTCCCTGTTTTTATCCCAGTTGAACACAATGTGGTGCTGTTGTCATGAACACAAGGAGGTAATTATTCTTCTGGCCAGCTCTGGACCCACAGCAACTGAAGGAAACCCAACAGAGTGCCTTTATTTTCATCTCAGCCACATCTAGAAGGTTTTCCGCTATCTTCTCCATTCTGCTCCCCCACCTTCCCACTGTGAAAATCTTCGACAATCTGTTCTCAGTCAAAGCTAGTTCTTGTAAACAGCACTGGTGCCCGTGGATTCTATTTTTATTAGATACAGAGTGGTATATTAATAATTATGCTGGAATAATCCTCTTTTCTATTTCTGAATTCATGCCACTTTGTGATTCATAGCAAAAACTGTGTAATTAAATCTCATATGAATTGTAGTTGTTATGTTGAGGAAAGGGGAAAAAAAATTGACTTTTCGGTTCCTGACAAAGTATGACCTTGACCATCAAAGCTCACGTCGCAATACAATGGAGAGTCCTTAAGCTCTCATTGTAACTCTCTGTTGCTTGTGTTTCAAGGCAGAAATACAACTAGCAATTTTGGCATCCAGGACAAGCTACACAAAATGTGCCTCCAAATCAGCTTTTTAATTAATAGTGTGAAAATAATACAAGTAATAAGTAGAAACTGAGGAGCCTGCCAACCTCTCCCCTCAACCGCAGGAGATAACCAGCACTGTCAGAACCACAGAACTACTTTCCGACTTCTTCCTATAGTAGTAGACCAGGTTGCCAGGTCAGTCTCAGAAATCTGGCTAGAGATGCCTCTGGTGTGGGCAATGGGAAAAGAGCCTTTCACTCTGCTTTGGGCACCCTGGGAAAAGACCCTGGCTGGCACACCCCAGTTCCTGCACAGTTTAAAGGATTTACTCTTAACCTCATTTGTTGTGCCCAGGGTGGGGCCCACTGTATCAAGAAATATACGTTAGACCACTTACTGCCTGAAGTTGGAGGAGCAGATCATTCTTCTCCTGCACCAGAGAAACTTGCTTTTCTTCAAGTTCCTTTCTCCTGGCTTCTGATTTCTCCAAGGCTTCCTTTAATTTTAGGAACTCTTCTTTCATATTGGCCATTTCTTTTTCCGTCTCTGCTGATTTCAGCAATGGCTTGATCTTGAAGAAAAGCTTCATCCAAGGCCAATTCTTCACCATCATGAAAGCTCGGATATTCCACTGGATCACAAGCAGAGCATCTCTGATTGAAAAGGGGAAAAAAGACTCCTGAGTTTTGGGAATGCCTGAAAAGATTTTTTTTTAAATGGGACTATTTTTATTCTTAGGGAGAAGTCCAGTTATTGACCTCAACTGATGTAAGACCTTTTAAACTGAAATGGCCAGTGCAGGTGGGTCCAAGGCTCCGTGTTATGACCCCAAACCTCCAGGGATTGCTTAGATTGCCCTCAAATGGAGATAAAACCAGAAATGGCTAGAAGTACAGTTATATGTTTGGGAAAAATAAAAGTTTTTTTTGGGGGGGGGACTGTAGCCAGAGGGGTCTGCTATCTATTTAAAAGGTGAATTGTTGGTCCTGTAGGCTTCCAGGAATGACAACTTGTGTGTTTTTTTTTCCTTTTCTATTATTACTGTTATTATGAGCCAAGAAAACAGTTAGCCAGGGGAAATCTGGGGGCCACTAAAACAAGATTGGCAGATGCTGCCCATATCAGCATTATATTGATGGGGTATCCATGGATGTTGATCTAATAAGTTCCATTCACTCAATGGACCTACTCTAGTTCAAATTAACATTTGGATTTTGCTGTTAGTTTTGCATGTGATCAGAATTGTTCCTGTTAGTCAGTTTGCAATAGTTCAAAAATGGTTACTCATTGCTTTCCCCTTACTAAATCTTAGAGTATTTGTACATATTTCTTTGGTTCCCAAGTGTTTTTTGTTTATCCCATACTGCTTTCCCCCCCTCATCTTTACAGCAATAAATGCATAACTACTTATTTTTTGCATGGCCACCAAAACAGTCTCTGACATTACAATGATTGGTGGTGGTGGTGAGGGTGAAGAAACTAATGAACTGGGGAAAATGGAACATGGTACCCTTCTGAAAAATTCAGACTTCTTTGTCAGTGCCTGGGAGCAGCTGGCTAGCAATGGGGATGGCAATGCCATGTAACATGTGCAGTCTGTCTTTGCAAGTGGGGCCTTCAAGCCCAATCTGGATTTTCCCCTGGCCCCATGTTCCCTGGTACTATGCTAACTGGAAAATGACTTCAGGCTGTATTAGGGAAGGGGGTCACAAAGCACTCTTGTCTTCATGAACATCCAAGGGAACTTGAAGCCTGGATGGCAGGCTATCATGAGGAGTCCAGAATGCTTCATGATAAAAAAAAGGGTGGAGGATCTGTTAGCGCTAGCTTCCTTTGAACAAATATAATATAGCAAAGCAAAAAGCAAAGCATGCTGCTTATATACTGCTCCATAGCACTTCAAGCATTCTCTGGGCAGTTTACAAGTTAATTATGCAGGCTACACATTGCCCCCCCCCAGCAAGCTGGGTACTCATTTTACCGACCTCAGAAGGATAGAAGGCTGAATCAACCTTGAGCCGGCTACCTGGGATTTGAACCCCAGGTAGTGAGCACAGTTTTGACTGCAGTACAGCGGTTTAACCATTGCTCCACAAGGCTCTCTAATATAGACACCAATTTCATGAAGACATTTACCTGGACATCTGGAAGGTCTGTATTGATTTTATATGTATAATATAAGATGCAGGTAGAGAATGTAAATTTATAATGGTGGTTTATAGTGAATACTAACATTACTACATTTTTGTTGTTTTTGTGTTTTCATTCTCAATTCAATTTAATTTAGACTTTTAATGTAAAATCTAGGGAAAATGCATAAAACGTTTCTGGAGTTACTTTAGTGGGCTTAGTTTATCTCTTATAAGATACTGTGTTCAGTTGCTGTCTTGTTGTACAATGTCTGGAAGGATGCACTCTGTGTATGCTTCAGAACTATGTTAATGCTACACTAATGTGTGAGTATTAGATAGACTAGCTAGCTTTGTTATTTTCTTAATTGCTTCAGCCTTCATCCCAAATTCTTTTTTGCTCAAAGTGGTTTTTGGAAACTTTTTGGAACTTTTGTCTTTTTGCATTTTGACTATATTTAATAAATTACTGTATTAACATTTCAGCAATCAATTCTCTGGATTTTTGGTTCAGAGGGTTTGTGGTACTAAAACAGGTTTTACCTTGACCAGCTCCTGAGATCTTTGGCATTTTTATGGGTGAGGTGGCAGTTCTGTCTTGGAAAATGGATGTAATGGTCCAAATTGCCTAGCCTTGTGGATAGATTGAGAGGCACCAGAGCTAGCAAGGTTCCCTAGCCATCACTACATTTGACTCTCTTGGGCTCATCCACTCCAAAATAAATAGGACAGAGTAGCTGAGTGGCTAGAGTGGGACAACCATCAGAATAAGTATCCTATTTGTATTCTGATTTATCATTTTCAGTTTTATTGTGCATTCACTTGCCTATCCCTTAAGGTCAGAAAACCGGGAAATGTATGTGCTTCTGTATCTAAGTAGAGGAATATCTATTTATTGCTTCCTATTTCCCTGCTTCAAAATATTTCTTTATCTTTCTTTGTAAAAAAAAGGGGGAGGCATAACCTGTCCCCACGTTTATCCATCTGTCTATTGACAGTCATTCCAAAAGATCTTATGCTGCACAAGATAGATAGATGGAGAAATAGGAAGCACAACACATTACATTTTCCCTCCTGTAAAAATGTTAGATCAGAGACTCAGAAAATTATTATTTTTTACACTATAAGTCCCAGAATCCCCCAGCCCACATGACCAGTAACTATTGACAGGGGGGTGGTTTCTGGTAACTCAAAGAAGTAATTTTCCCAGGGCCTAGAAAATTCCTATCGTATGTTTTCCTCAAGTAACTGCTTGCCCTGCAAGGATGAATGTCCATCAAACCTGTACCAAACTGTGGGTTGGAAAAAGCAGGTCAACATCCACCCCCAATATATACAAATATAGACAGAATGTATTCTAGATAATATACCTTCGCTCTACAATCTTCTGGAACTCAATGCGCATCAACTTGCCTCGTGCTCTTGCCTGAATAAGTGTTAGAATCTTGGCTAATCTCTCGTCCCGCATTTCTTCCAGATGTCCTAGAAGGCCAGCCTTAAAGAAAACCTGAAAAGATACCAGCAGTTCAGAAACAGACGGCAGAAAAAGTAGCTGTATACAAAGTTCTGGTTTGTGTAATCCCTTTACTGGAGCAGTGAAAATGGTTGTTTCTGACTTCTCCAGTACTTTTCAACAGGCAAAGGGGGTATAAGACTAGGTATCACAAAATGAGTCATTTCCCTTGACCCCAAATTTTTACACATTTTTGTCCAATGAACAACCTGAGAGCTCACCTTATTTGTGGCTTTTCTAGTGACCCAATAAGGGTGTGATCCAAGTCAGAACAGCAGTTTATTTGTTAAAGCAGCACTCAGACACAAACAGTTGTTGGTCTAATAAAGATCAACACAATGCTTCCAACATGGTCTCATTTGTAAAGGTTGTTACTTCTACTAATAGGTTCCTGGAGCAGGAGCGGGATAATAACTGCATAGAATGAAAACTTAGCAAAATGCTCTTGAAAGGACATGACAGTGCCCTGTCCACAGAGCTGCTAATTAAAACAGCTAGAATTGCTACAATCAAATGCATGAACCTACATCTACCATAAGTTACTGCAAAATTTAACTTTGCTGCAAACAACTAAAATATGGAACACAAGAAAAGGAATCAACCAAAGAAGGATAGAAATGGATCTCAGCATTTTAAACCTTGTTAGCTGTATCTATTTTTCTCTTTGCCTGGTTTTGAATTCATTAAAAATTGCTATTCTAATCTCCTACATTATTCATCAATTCCCTTCTAAATCAACCTAATAGTCATGAGAAGTGCCCATTTTAAAACATTACAGGTACTATCAGACATATAAATTACATACCTCCAGTTGGCAGATTATTGAGCTTACGTGGAAGCTGCTCCCTTTTCTTTTTCTAATTTCATCTAAATATCCAGCACTATGGCTTGCTTTTTGCCTGGCTATTTAACCTTAAGGGTTGTAAAGGTAATTATGCCAGTTTTTATGAAGACTATTAACTTCAAGGACTATAAAGCTATTTTTCCCCCACATAGGTTTCCTGAACAATGTAAAGTCCATTAAAAAGGCATTTCTGGTTAGGGCTGTAAAGATGGAACTTCTAGTACAATTAGAATTCCTTGTAAGAGCACGACTACTCTGCAGACTAATTGCAATAAGTCATTAGACAACTGCTGGATAGCTCAGTGGTTTGTTGGAAGTTCAAATCCCCACTGTGCCATAGGGTGCCTTCCAGCCCTGCAGTTCTAAGATTATTATTTATTATTATCTTTAGGTGAGATCAACAGCAAGATAATCAATAAAAATAAAGTTTTATCCTCTAACATTAATGACAGGCAAGCTATCCCAGGCAGTAATTGAGGGTGGGAACTGAGAAGAGTACAGAACTGAGAAAAGATATGTTTTGGAGAACATCTAAAATCGGGGACGTGGTGGCGCTGCGGGCTAAACCGCAGAAGCCTGTGCTGCAGAGTCAAAAGACCAAGCAGTCGTAAGATCGAATCCACGCAACGGAGTGAGCGCCCGTCGCTTGTCCCAGCTCCCGCCAACCTAGTGGTTCGAAACCATGCAAATGCAAGTATATATGTTTTGGAGAACATCTCCTAAAATCACCCAGCCATTACAACTGTTGTCTAGTGTAGACTCTGGGAGTTGCAATCTTAAAAAGTAACTTTTCTGAGCTCTGGGGAAAGAACAACGAAAACAGAAGGTTTGTGCAATGCTAGCAAAGAGGCCTGGGCTTCAAAGGTTCCCACAATCATGAACCAAATCAACTGATCTCCCTAGCTCAACCCACTCCTTTTAGTAAATGCTTCGGCTGTGAATGTTTCTGCTTTAACAGACAAATGGAAATGTCATCCTGAATGTGTATGAATATTACAACACTTGCCCTACTTTAAATATCCACATGGGTTAAAGGCAGGGAACTACTAGGAAGAACGTTCTGACTCCTCACAGGCTGCAAGGATTTTTATATGAGATGAAAGAACTTAAGTTGAACCCTTACTAGATATTACAGAAAATTAGAGGAAAGTTGATAGGAAAGGGTTTCTGTTTAGGAAAGTGTCCTCTATTGCACTAGCTGCTCCTGCAGAAGTGCACTGCACACAATGGGTATGGGATATTTGCATGGCAGTACTGGCAACCCCACCCCCTGTAACATTACCATACCAACAGTTCAATGTATCTTCCCATAGAAATAAAAAAAAATTATTTGCCAGTAATGGTATGGTGGCACACACACCCCGGTGGCATACTTTGACCAATTTATTGGGCATGAAAAAAAAATTAATATGCACACTGCAATAATGGCAACCACCTTCCTGGCTTTGATTCTGAAAAGAAGTGGGACAGGTCATGCACACAGGCAATCCCAGTAGGGAATGCATCGGCACAACAAAGGTACAAAATAACACAACTCTCCTGGTGATGGGGAAATTTTCCACAGTTACACTGCTGGCCAGGAAAATGTCTCAATCTTGACTGTGTGTTGTGTGAGCAGGGGGAAAAAAGCAACAAACTAACTGGGGGATAGATACAGAACATTTCCTTCATGTGACCTCAGTTGTGCAATCCAGCATACAACCAAGACATCCTACAGCGCCTTGTCAATTAACCATATGAGACTCGCATGCAAATACCAATAAGACTCCGTCCTCTGATCAGCTATGATGGTACTCAGTTAATAGTGCAGATGTTACACAATTTTTAATCCAACACTTTTACAAACTGTAAGGAACAATTGCTACTGTATCTTAAAAGAGAGATTGGCAACTGACAGGGAATGCCTTCCAACGATGCCTGCTGTGGCATGTGCATGCTTCATCTCAGCATGCATGTTTCCTATTATTATTACTGCTTTTTAGTTACATGCAAATTCATGGACATTAAGGTGCAAGCAACCCCACACTCCTTATCTTGGAATAAGTCCCAGTGAGTGCAATGGGACTTATTTGTAATTTAAGGCAAAAATCCTATGGAATTCTGCCAGGGAGTAAGCACTATCGAACACAATGGGACTTAAGCTAAGATGAGATGATTTATTATGGATCAGTGCAACTCCCCACATGTCCATAAGAAAGTAAATCTCATTGAATTCAATGCTGCTTATTCCTCAACAAATAGGATAGCGGCCAAAGTTTTCTTTCACTCCGTGACTTCCCTACTTTCTTTTGGTTCTTTGGAAGGTCAAAACAGCTTACATGGAGTAATCCTCCATCCTGCTGTTGATCAGGCCCATGCCTATTTAGTTTCTTGAGCACTACAGCCTCCAATACTCCCTGATGACCCCCTAAGCTCAGAACAATATTGAAACAAACTGTATTACCTTTGTGTGTCCAAAGCGGTACTGATTATGATCGATATCTAAAGAGCCAAGTAATTTCTCAGCAGCTTTTCTGCTGTCCACAAACTTGTCTTCTGGAATTGCAGAAGGGTTCAGAATGCGGTACCTGATATGAGCAGATAAAGGACATATAAATTAATAAAATTCTGAAGCAAGTTAAATGATATCTTATTCACAGGAACTCTGCTTTATAGCACATTAATTGTCCATACAGTACTGTATATCCCACTAGTGTCATAGCATCATGACGAGGGATGGGGAGTTTTTAGCTGATGGAGTTCTCTACCTATCTGCAAATTAATTCTGTTATTATTACTAGTCAGTGAATGAAGGGGGAAGGGGTTTGTAGATAATTTGACTTTAAATATCCTTCATGGAAACGAACTATACCTTGCAGGAATATTGCTTTACAGGGAAAAGGCTGAGCTGTGCTTTACAAGCGGGGAAGCTACAATTTAGTCCTAAGTAGACAAGCATAGAAATCAGCTATGCTTTTTTATGTTTGGTGGGAAAATGTCCAAACTAGCAAGGAATATACCTTCTCTCACCCACTCTATTTTGGCTTTGTCTACTTTGTTCTTCACCTTAGCTACCAATAACTAGTTATTTGTAACATTTTCCCCCAATATCAAGGTATAATTCCTATTACCAGATCATTGCGACTTAAGAGAGGATTATTTTGCTAGTGTAGCTGTAATGTTTCACAGGCATGGAAATGGGGTCTTACTAAATGAGGGAGACAATTTCACAAGGTTCAAGTGCTGGTGTGTGCTGTGTCTTGTTCTCCAGCCCATTCCTTGCTGTGGGTGTTGTGGTGAGATAGGAGAGAGGGTGTTGTTGGTTGTTTTTTTTTAACCACAGATCAGTGGCTGAACTCCTGTTGCTTAGCACAGCAAGTTACAAGCAGAGTAAGCCCATGGAATCAGTGGAGATTTGCTAAGTCCCACTGAATCAAATACATCTGTTCTAGTTGTGACTTACTATGTTAAGCAACAGGATATCAGACTGTCTTGTATGGTTCAGTTAGTTCATTTTAAAATAACTAAAAAGGAATTAGATATTTTAGAGAAACAGGAAAACAAGGTGTTGTGAGGATTTTTTTAATATAGTGCTAATGAGAATTATTTCACTTTAGTGGCCTTAGAAAGCAGCTTAACCGTAACTAATTACTTTTGAAGAGTATTTTCCAGGCTCTAATCACATTTTAAAAGAGGTTTTTGAACTGTGTCCCAAACCTCCTACAGGTGATTTTAATTTTTTTTCTTACTGTTACTAAAAAAGAGAGAACAAAAATATATACTTCATGTCCTTGAGGCCTTCTCTAAATATGAATAAAACATGGAATAAATAAGGAGCAGTGCTTACTGTGTTAAGAATTAATAATGATTTTACAGAAGCAACAACAACGTGGCCATTGTTATTTATACTACCTTTGCTTGAAGTCAGCGTAGATGACTCTGTTTGGAAAACCCTTGCGACAAATACGAATTCCTTCCAAGACACCATTACAGCGAAGCTGATGAAGGACAAGGAATGGATCCATCATACCTGCAAAGAAAAAAACAACACACACACACACACGAGTGGTGGGGATAGAGAGATTGGGAAATGCACTGGGGGTGACTTTATTCCAACAGGAGAATAATTTGAATATATGATCTAGGAAGGTGCACCATGAAAAAGACTGCTTTTTTACCTGGAGTTTTTGTTTCATTGGGAATAATGCACCGTACAAAGTGAGGAGATGTAGATCTTAAGTTAGTCATCAGTTTGTTTAAATTTTCCTACCAAGAGAAAAGGGAGGTTAATACAAGCGAAACCATGGAACTGCTGTATGGACCATATTGGACTATTGACCTCCTAGAACATCAACTTTATGATGAAGTTGCCACTTAGCTCCATGGGATAAAGGAAGGATTCAAATACATGAGGATTACTGCTCTCTGTCTGCTCTCCACTACTGTCACACTTAGTAACATGGAAGTAAATCACACTTGCAAAACAGTTGCTGTGCCAGTTTGGATATGACATTGAGCAGTCAGTTGCTTACTTATGTATTTACAATTAGCTTCTAACATTTTTTAAAGAATACTGTAAGTGAGATCAGTTTATATCAATGTAAACAATTTCAAACAGTTGAACAAACAGAGAAAAACCTGCAATCCCAGAAATTAAAAAAAAAAACCCTCAAGCCACGGTTCTAGTAGGCGCCCTATGCTTGGATGAGTAAACAGGTTTTAAGGTGACGCTGATATAAGGACAATGTTGGCACGACATGGGCTTCCAAAGGCATTGCAAAACTTTGGGCACTGTAGTTGAGAAAACCCACTCCCATGTCTCTGCATGGTGTGGAGCGTGGAGGTTTTTAATGATTGGCAACCCAGAGCGGAGGAGGGGAGAGACATTTTTGGTAGACCTGGCTGGTAGCAGAAGGTGCCCAGCACCTGCATGGGTTGCCACCATTCCTGATAGGGCTTGAATCCCTTCCTTACAGAACACAGAACTCAAAGAATTTTTCCAGGTCCTACACTGCTGTTGGGATTTGGGCTTTTCCTATTGGGCTAAGTGTTGGTCTTTTTTCTGCCCGGGCCATGCACCATTATTTCTAGGGTTGCAGAGGAAGGCTTGCACAATGATTCTGCACTTCTTGCCTTGCTCCAAATGGCATGATGGACCCAAATACAAGCAACCAGTAGCGTTCTACCCAGTCTCTTCCTGTCACTGCTGGCATTTGTTGTGCAAGTGCGGCATGCATAAAAATGTCTGCATGTTGAGCCAGAGAGATCTGGTGCCAGTTGAAAACAGATGGAGATGGGTGTCCAGGTTTTAACGCCATCTTATACACTAATTTTTTTCCTTCTGCAGCATTGATCATCAATAGATGCTATGCTCTTGCCTGGGGAATCAAAGCACCATACCAATTCCAGGAGATTTCAGCTGGCACCATGAGATTTGGCAGCCCTAAATTTGGCAGGTGATGTAGTTCTGATTTATTGTGGCATAAGCTGCAATGGGCTGAAAAGCTCAAAAACATATGCCACCGTACATCTGAGATTCTTGGAGCTGTCCCAGCGTTTTTGGATCCAGGATACCATGGCAGTTTTTTAAATTGCATCTTTGTTGAATTTGGGCACGAGGCTATTTGTTCATACATCTAGCCCCAAGGGGTGAATCGGAGAGAATGAAAAGAAGAAAAAGCTAAAAACAAAATATAAATTTAGACATGTGTTGACTAAGGAAGTTAAAGTTTAAGGTCTTGTAAAGAGGCCCATTTTCTAAACTTCTGTGTTCCCTGTGTTTCGCGTACCATCTGCTTGGTAGTAAAGAAGAACAAGACAAATGACACACAATACTTTAAAAAAGAATGAGAATTACTTTATGCATTGATGACACCGTTTGGAAGGAAGCACCCTTTTTGCGTTTCTTCTCTCCACTTTGATCTATGTGTTGTTTTAAAAAAACACAAATAGAACAACAGTCTTAAATTCTGATTACAGCTCTGGCATAAAGATGTTCTTGAATTTCTAGTTTCCAATGTAACTCACAAATTCCGTTCTATAAAGAAACAATCAGGGATCTGGTTGCTTTTCCTGGACCCCGTGATAGGTTCATCTGCTAAAATGTTGTGATGTAGGTTTGTTGTGGGTCCATTGCCATTGTTTTTATAAAGCTCATGCAAAGACGGAGCATTCTAGCTTGGACCATTGGCCCTCATTTTCATTGCCCTCCTACTCCTGGAGTGATGAGTCTGAAGAGGAGATCCTCTGCTGTCTGTCTATGGAGACTTTACACACGAGTTGAGCCCCTGGTTTTGTAGGGTTCCAACAAACACTGGGAGACCTTACAGATCACAGAGCTCTTCCTCTTCAAACTTGTTGCCCTCTGTGGATAGGAGGGCAATAGAAATCATGACAGATGAAGTGAAGTTCAAAGGTTTCCCTCTTCGTATGAGCTTCATAAGGAGCTGTAACTAGCAATTTTGGCATCCAGGGGAAGCAACACAAAATGCACACCAAATCAACTTTGTAATTCATTATGTGAAAATAAAACAAGAGGTACATGTTATAACATTGACCATTGTCCTAGCATCTCCGCTTCTCCACAGAGGATCAGTGGAATTGCCAGGCTTACCTTCTCCAAAACCAAAAGGGCCTTTAAAATACACACATATACACACATTTAGCGTACCACACATATTTATAAGTTCATTTGCTGTAGTCCAGCTCACAAACATAGTTCACCTTGCCAGACCTTCCCTCTAGTGGGAGATGCCTGGTCTCTTCACAATCTAGGTAAACCAAACCCCATACTGATGCTGTTCTAAGCCCAAGGCAGAGGCCTGGTCAACTGAGCCCTGGACAGACCTCCCTTCTGGTGCCTTATCAAAGCTTTGTGTACCACATTTCCTCTCTTCCTCTCCACCCCCTGCCACAGCCTGCTCTACTGGCTACAGTGCCAGCAGTCTGCCCTGGAGGCTTCGTCTTCTGTCACTTTTTCTTATTGTGCTGGACCAGGCCATTGTGCCTTGGGGCAAACCCCTGATTGCCCCACCGTAGTGAAGCATATATAGGGTATATGCTCTGCACATGGGTAAGAATGATTGTATTGGACTACCATTTCATATCCTCCCTGCCTGTCATGATTTACCTGCTTGCACAGATGAGGACAGTGAGGAACACCTTCTACATAATCATTTATGCTTTGTTTCAGGCCAAGGGGGTCTGTAAGTGGGCCAAGTAAACATGTACCAATGCAGCAAGGAGCAGCAATGAGGGCTGCAGGCAATGAACTGGTGAGCTCTTCCATGTTCCTGTGGTCTTAGCATTAAGCCCTGATGTCTCTCATACAATAGGTGAAGGGCCAACAAGCAGCTCTTTAGATGTGACATGAATGACATCCTAGCCTTCTTTGGCTATGTCTATTCCTTGCAATACAGTATTCGTCAGATTTTAGATTTTCATTCTCTGGCATCGCCAATCAAAAGGACTGCAAGAGCATAGACAGCTGTTTTTCACACAGGGGGAGTACAATACAGGATTAGATGGGCTAATCAACGGACTTGGTATACTTTTTCCCCATCTTTTTTCTTCCAACAGCAAACCATATTATAAGATGCAGGTTTAGCTACTGGTTTTAATCAAGTGATTAGACGATGCAATGTGACTATTAGTCAGCTAACACCTCATAATTTTTTTTATCAAAGCAATGCTTTTGCCACACTTTAATTCACTGGGAATTACTATGTTATCATGTTTCAGAGAATAAACTGAAGAATATTTTTTTCTCTCAAGAAGAATACTTTTATATCAGTTAATAATACCCTTATTAATCAAAAAATAAAACTGTTTAAATCACGTCATATCTAGGAATATAGGAAGGCCGCTACAGAAAGAGAAAGATTATATTCATTGGCAGATATTCCCTGGGGTTTGGGGCTGGAGTTGTCCCCAGTTCTATCTAGAGATAACTAGGATTGTACCTAAAACCTTTTCTGCATACCAGTCATCCAACAGCAACAACATTTCACTTGTGAATGAAACACACGTCAGTGATCCCTGTAACCATTAAGGCTTTGGGAACAATGTCAAGAAATTTCACACAGTATTACAAGCAGTTGCAGATCTCAGAAATCACACCATCAGAGCTTTAAAAACCCAGCAATATTCGGAACAGCATACACACTGCACCAATATTTAATGGATACTTAGGTTTTAGGTTAAAACTCGTATCTGTTGTATAATATCAGTCAATGTTTTAATAATTTGATAGAGTGTACCTGGTATTTAGAAGGAGGAGGAGGAGGAGGAGGAGGAGAAGAAGCCGTCAAGTCAATTCTGACTTATGGTAACCCTTTTCAGTGTTTTCTAGATAGAAACAACTTTTGGGTAGATAGTACTCGTAAGTAGTTTGCCATTCCCTTCTTTTGGTGGAATCCTGAGACTGTGCAGCTTGCTACACAAGCTACTCACAGGGGCACCGTGGGGAATTGAACCCTCAACCTCTGAACCTAAACCACTGAGTTACCCAGTTAACACTATGGCAGACAATAGGGGAAATCATTGAATATAGTCATCAAAATCTGCTGAAGATGGCAATTTCCAGTGCTTCTGAACTGCTCATTTATTCAGAAATCACTCCTCTCATTTATGTTGTTGTTGTTTAGTTGCTAAGTCATGTTCACCTCTTTGTGATCCCATGGACCAGAGCACGCCAGGCCCTCCTGTCTTCCACTGCCTCCCAGAGTTTGGTCAAACCTGTCATTTATACCAACATCAAAAAATAAATATTTCAGTTCTTCCATCCATGTAGGCATCCTTCAGTCTTGAGACACCATGGTAACGTGCTCTGTATGGAGAACTCAGAACAGCGTCCAGTGTTTTGATGCTGTACGTGAAGCTGGAGTGTC